GTGGATGTTTTCTAATGCAGATAACGCAGACGTTATCAATTTCTTCAGCTGGGAATTCAGGGTAAACCTATGACTTCTCTCCAGATGAAGATCGTTCTCTTCTTGGATCTCAGAATAAGAATCATCCAACTAACTAATTCCATCTCTAGCCCTCAGGATGTTGGCATTATTCCAAGTAAAACCAAAAATCATAATTACAGCACATGATGCTACCCCTGTCTCCACTATTTTGCATATCTCTATATAGTTTCTTGTTTTGTTTTGCACACGTCACTTAAGCTTCTTGTTTTATTACTTCTTAGAATTCTTAGTATTCTTCTTACTCTGGCTCCTCATATGTCCTTGCTCTCCACAGTTCCAACAACCTTTCTGGGTAGCAGCCTTTCCTGCCATGGCATCTTCCCTGTGTTGAAGTTTCCAGCATTGAGCATTCTCGTGCCCAGGTTTGTTACAGTGCCAGCAAAGTCCCTCAAACTTTTCTGAAAGCTGCCCTTTTCTGGCCTTGACTCCTGATGACTGTACCAACCTTGGTACCTCTGTGCTGGACTGAACATAGGATTCGAATTCAAGAGCTCTGGCCATTGCATTCTGCATAGTAGATGGGTGTATGCTTGCTTTACTTGTATCTTCAGTTTTGGACTGTCCAAGGCATCTACAAACTGATCCCTCAGCAACAACTTGAGGACATTGGATGGCACAGTTGGGTAGGCCTTGTGTGCCATTCTTTCCAAGTCCTGTGCCAGCTTTTGCAGGCTCTCCCCTTTAGCATGGACTCTAGTTCTAAACCTAGCCCTGTAGACTTCAGACTGATTTTGAGTTCCATACCGGAGTTCTAGAGCAGCTACCAGCGCTTTGTAGTTGTGCCTGTTGTCTGATGACAGCTGTCCAAGTATTTCCAGTGGTTGTCCCTTCAAGCTTGTTGCCAGATATACTGCTTTCTGCTCCTCTGTCCATCCATTCATTTCTGCCAGGAGCTCAAATTGTGCTCTATATGCTTCCCATGGTGCCTTCCCATCGAATTCCTGTGTCTTCCTTCGCACTGGATCACCCCTATTGCTGACACTCATGTCTGGGATGTGACTTCTGACAGGACTGAAGATGTCTGCATTAGGGTTTATCTGCGGGGTCTGGAAGGGGCTTCCTGTTGTCTGGGGCTGATTAGGTTGATGGCTAATATATCCTCCTCGTGTAAAAGACAGTAAATCATCCTTTAATGTATTTAATTCACTTTGAAATTTGTTAGTGTTTTCCATTTCTACTTCTTGCCACTGTTGTTGACTTTCCTGCAACTGTTTGAGACTGTTTGTCACCAGCGTCGTAACAATATACATATATTTTCGTTTCCGTATGGGCCCTCCTTAGACCATTGGCCCCTGGTGGTCGCCCAAGACTTAATCCGTCACTGATCTTGTTATTGAGAGAAATCACTTGGATAATATAATCTTATCATTTTATACCTATTTACCCCGCAGACTATTCTATCCACATCCCTTACCAAAAATTCGCCTACAGCTTCGATTTCTTTAAACTTGAATTTCACTCATACTTGTCCCAACTGTTTCTCTTCTATGCTTCAGCTCCCTTTCTTTATCATTTAGTTGAAGTAACCTGTTACTTAAAGAGTTTCGTTTTCTATTATTGTACTTATTTATTTTCTTTTGCTTATAAATTACAACCGAGGACACAATATGTGAATAAAGGAAATAAATACCATTTTACGAATTTCCTATAATTTAGTATAATATAAAAATACAGTTTAAAATATATTCGAATTTAAGTCTATGCTGCTTAGTTGTTCGGCAGTGCAATAGAATAGCTGCTGCTGAAAGCTCAAACCAAGGATTAAGAAAAACTTCTGAACGGTGTTAAAGTTTATATTATTTTACATAATACTAAAAATACTAGATTAATAAAATGTTATATTGCAGTTTTCACAATTTATTTTAATGTGGGGTAGTCAAATATTGTAATTAAGAATACATCCGAGTTTTATTCTATGAAATTTATAAATCTGTAAATTGAATTAAATACTGTTAATAAAATGTGGATAAATAAATGATTAAATGACCAGTGTAGTTAAAATAACATAACAGCAGCACTTTCCCAGGTTTGTAAACATACTTATTATTAATTAGTTAATATATAAATCAAAATTTTTGTGAGTTCTCTTTCAGCCCATAAAAACAAAACACCCAAAAATATATAAATTAATGTGTAAGAAAATTTATTTTTATTCACGATGATAATTTTTTCAAAAATTACGAGTATCTAGTTAAGCTACAAAACATCCAATGATAACGAAGCTTTAGTTGAAAAATAATCACGTGACGTACTTTATATAATCCAACCAGTAATATCCAGTTCTCTTAGACTGTCCGTTAACGTTGCTCGGATTTGGCGAGACGAAGTTTATTCCAATATGGACGGCGATCAGAACAACAAAGTGAAGGTAGAAGCCCAACAGCAACACCTTGAAATTCACGAAAACAGACCAAATAAAAGACAACGGAATGAAGGGCCTAGTAACCCTCAACAAAGAGGAGGTAGAGCAGACAACAGAGATCGTGACAGAGGAGGTAGGCCTTCTAATCAGAGAGGTGGAAATATGAGAAAAGAGAGAGATTTCGTTAAAGAAAGACTTGCCAATGTTAGTGGACCAACAACAAATCTTCAGACAAAGGAAGGGGAGCCTAAAAAGTTTACTGGAAGATGTCGTTTGTTTGTTGGTAATTTACCTCCAAATACGACCGAAGAAGACTTCAAAAAGATGTTTGAACCTTTTGGAGAAACGGCGGAAGTCTTCCTCAACAATCAGAAAGCATTTGGTTTTATAAAATTGGTAGGTTTAAATTCAATATTTAGGCTTAGCGTAAATGATTTTGCTGCCATATTTGATATATTAGCCACAGCTTACAACTACAACTTACAAGTTAATTGGAGTATGTGTTAAATGTATCACGTCGCGACCTCTGTTGGGAACTTTTAACATATTCAATAGTATTATTTTTATATATTAAACGTAAAGCCAATAGCTCGCAAAATTTCAAGTAAGTGTATAGGCTAATATTAAAACTAGAAAAGTGGAAGCATTAAGATTAAGTGATAAATAATTAACGTCAGAAAATGTTTGGTCTTAAGCTCTATCAGTATCACTGTATCAGGATTTTGTAGCCCTGGTAGTAATAGTAGTAGTAAAGTTTAAAAGTTAAATATAAGTATATTGTACAAACAAATAATAGATAAGGTAATCATGTGCTATGTACTTCTTACAAACAACTTAAAAGGGTCACTCTTTCCAACTAAGTTAACAATCAGACTTCAGGGCTTCCAACTCGTTTTGTATTAGGGTTTTTGTTGTTTTTTAAATAGTGAGATCATACACATCATTGGATTCCACAGTCAAACATTAGCAGATGTACACTGCAATTGCAAGTATGTATTTAATAATTAATGAAAAATAGTAATCATACCTGTAAAATGACCTTTCACACCACGTGATCGTCTCATTGGAAAAATGCTAACTATATGACTGATCGCTTTACCTGGTAACCTGAGATGTTGCATGAAACCAGGTAGTCCTAATACAGAACTTTAATTGAACACCCAGATGTGTCAATTCATATAATATTGATAAATGAAATGAAAATTGTCAACAGTCAAATGTTAAAAATGAAGTATGAACTTGCATATGTTCCTGTGAAAGTAGAGGAGAAATGTTGTATTCTCATTATTTTTAAAGTAAATTAAACTATGATATAATGTATAGCAGATTGCCAGGTCAACAAATTGTCTATTTCTGCCCAGTGATATGATGTAGAGCAGGGGTAGCCAACCTTTTTTGTGCCATGGGCCAGATTTTGATTACCAGAGTCGACCCAGGCCGCATTCAACTTTAAAATACAGTGCTGGTAAAAAAAAAAGTGGACATCCTGAGCTTAATATTTTTCAATGCTCTGATATAGCTCTCATTTGGCTGTAGTCACAAAGAATCGTATATCAATAGATAGAAAACTTTCTTGGCTTTTATATGATGTACTTTACTTTTGATATTGCGCCATTAGGTGTTCTCTAGAGACCAAAAACAAAAATTTCATCATTTTTTGTCAATCGAGTTATCTCTGGTAGGAAAAGACGTTTGGATAATAATTTTTACATCAGTGAATAAAGAATGAAGGGACCTTTCATTTGACACTTCGATCAGCAAAATCAGTCCACATTCGGTTCACCCAATTATGTCAGAATATCAAGATAGACTCATTTACGACGAGCTTGTTGCTCTCAGTTTGAATTTTAATCGTTCCTCCAGTCAGACCGCTGTTGCTAAGGTCGCCGAGACAACAATGAAAGAATGGCTCAAATTGCCTCAGGCGAAACCCGATGGAATGAAAGAGTGAGTTATTGCCTCCTCGCTACTCGCGCGAACACAATGGTGACGTCAAGTGAAATTATCAAATGATGACACACAAATCTCTCGCGCAAATTAAAAATAATGAAAAGGCTGCAGCGGCTGTCTAAGTATCATGCATGGGCCGTAATACAGTGAATTTTATAAATGTTAGGCGAGCCGCAGAAAACGACATCACAGGCCGCATGTGGGCCAGGGTTTGGCCATCCCTGATGTAGAGCAAACTGTTGCCAAGCCAACATATGGCTGTTAATTTTCTAATTCATCATTTTATGGCATACCGTCAGTTCAAATTGGACGGACATATCTATGTATTGGTTTATGTAATATGCACCACAAAGTTTATTGTATGGCTTTGTTTCTACAAGTGAAATGGGTACAAAGAATTATAAATAGTTTAATGTTGTTGTTTTTTTTGTGTGTGTGTTTTCAAGTAGGAAATGTTTCTGGATCCAGTGAAACTGCTCAGACCAAAGTAGAGCATGAAGAGAACTTTAATTTGATGTATCACTGATCCTTATTGATGCAGCCAATTCGAACCGACACCCAATTTTTGATTTTAACATTTGCTTGCAGGTCACTGCCAAATGGTGGAGGAAAGGTTAAGCAATCGTTGTGATTTTTTAAAAATCAATTTACAACTAGTGGAAGTATAGTTGTCTGGAATAAGCCATGCAAACACAATGTGTAATAGTGCTGTAGATCTTTTTCATTTGTTGTGTGGTGTACAGTAATTTGTTTGTAGGTGTATATATTCACAACTGCAACTTTGCATTCACACACTTCCATGACCGATAACTGTAATTCTCTGGGAATCCCTATTTGTATTGTAGGTTATACCTAACTCCTTTGTTACTTGTAGAATTTAATAGCTTATTCAAACATTGCCAACTCATTTATCACAAAACAGGAATGGTGTTCTGTGTTTTCAATTTATGTTCTTTGTACTTTTTTTTTTGCTAGTGTTCAGGACCAATAGGTTGTTTTTGAAATTTATTTCAAGATGTCCTGTGTGAGGTTGCTTGGTAAATAGATTAATATATCTAGTTTTTAAGGTTCAAGTGTTGCAAACATATGAAAATCTGCCAGCTATGGTGTGAATGTTTATTAGTGATAGTTGTGTTTCTTCAAATATTGAAAAAAATTGTATTCACAATGGTTCAGTGCACAAGTCTGTATACAATATGTTTAGCTGATGTACTTAGTCTTGTTAATAGAGCTAGGGTGTAATATTGTATATAGTCTTCCAGATCTTAGACCCAGTTTTTAGTTTTATGATGTTACAATTAGTTGAATAAATGGCAATGCCTGTTGTAAAAACACAAGTGTAGAGGACGATGTTTCGAAAGTCTTCCTTCTTTTGTTAGCTGTGGGTGTTAATACCAACTTCATGTTCTACCCGTCCAAAATATATAGACGGATAGAAAATGGTGGGAAATAATTTTTTCAAAATTTGTATTAAAGTATAACCCCCCTGTACAGTCAGTACCTCTGAAAATTAACACAAGCAAAAATGTGCATGACACAGTTTGTGTCTTACATTCAAAATTTTATCAAATTACTTTTTGTTTGTTATACCAATTATTATAGCATAAAATCTTACCTAATGATCCATATTTTAATAAGTTTTAAATTCTTCATTCTATAAGGCAATATTTAAAAAAACTGAATTCCCCTAGTGTGACACATTTTCTCTAGGTATATTCTCTTCTCTATTTTATCTACCACCCCTTCAAAAAGTACAAAATTAAGAGTAAATTACTCCCTATAAAATCATTATTGCTCAGACAAGCCATAATTTTTATTGCCTTTAATTTTGTATGGTTACAGAGCTATCAAATAGAAAATAAGACCCCTTTTGCCACTACCATTTGTCTCATCCTCTCTTTCAAGATTTGTTAATATTTCTCTTTTTCATTCAAATATATATTTTCTATAACCAATAGAAAATTAAGGTTTTCATCTATCAAATGACATATTGTATAATATTGTGTTATAAACAGAATATTTTCAATTTACAAAATACGTTTCCATGGGAATGTTAACGACTAGCTTGGATGAATTTAATGGCTGTTGTTGAATAGTTAGAAAGTCAGAAAATTTTTGAGATAGGGGAAATTTTCTGCTTTTTGCGTGTTATTAGTCTTGTATTCTTTGGTGCATTATTTAATTCAATAAAAATTTAGTGCATTACCACCATTAGTAACTATGACTCTCTTAAGGTAGCCAAATGCCTCGTCATCTAATTAATGACACGCATGAATAGATTAATGAGATTCCCACTGTCCCTATCTACTATCTAGCAAAACCACAGCCAAGGGACTGGGTTAGGAGAAATCACTAGTTGTAATTTTTTTCTATGTGAAAGACTTGTAATGTTAAATGAAAGTCTGCAAAGTCTTGTAAGTACTTTATTTCTTGTATTTCATGTCTATTCTCTATTTATTATTACAAATGTAAAAATAGGGATCATTTTAGGTTAGTTAAGATTAACGTGCACACGTTATAGTATCCAAAAACACAAAACTAACCTTTGGTCTGTACAAAGTAACTTATTTTGGCTGTGTTTTAGTTTTTTGTAGAATATAGTCACATTTCAACTATTATATATGTATATAGATGATTGCTATTTTGAAATAAGTTTTTAAACTTATTTTTCTTAAAACATAGAACAGTAAATATAGAAGTAATGCAAACAGTTATCTCTTCAAGTTATGAACTTTATAATTTGTTGTTGCTTGATGTAGGTTGCTAAGCCTTTAAAATTTTACACGTGGAGGATATGAAACAAAATTTTTTAGATTTTATATATACATTTGAATAACTAAGAAAAAATAATAAATTACTGCATCAGTACCATAGAATTCCACTATAATTTATCAAGCTTAGTAACTAAGATGTATTTTGGTCTAAAAAATATATAAAATTTCAAGTAGACGAAAGACACACCATACCTACTTCAAATATTGGTTCAAAAGAAAGAAATGGCTGGTAAAGCCACTAGGGGACATTCTGAGCTTCCTATTGGTTATTCATGTCAAAATAGAATTAAGGGAGTGTTTCCAAAAATGGAAAAAAATGGGTGGGGTGCCACTGTGTTTGATTTATTACATAAGCAATATGTTAGCAAGTCGAAAAGATAATACCTTATTATTTTATATTCTAGGTTGTCAATATCGGTAATTTGAGTTTCTAATTCATATGAAGCTATAGACTTGGTATTTTGACTTCAGAAACATCTAGTTTGAACCAGTGCTGTATTCAACATACCATGTGACACAAGCATCGATGTTTAAGTTTTTTTAATATTTACTTTTAAATTAAGAAATTGAGTAATATATAATACTAAAATTTGAATTATACTCTACAGTTTGATACCAAACTTTTTGACATAGATTCATGAAATAGTAGTTCAATAAAATTTTGAATTCAAG